GAAATATTCAAGTAATAATCTCTGCGAAGCAGTATAATTTATATCTGTTATATTTTGGTTGTATAATAAATTCAGACACTACCAAATAAGTTTTTATCAGCATTATTATTTAAGGATATATATTTTAAGTTGAAATTCGAGCTCTGAATTCTTCATATAAACAAAATAATATATTGGAAATCACACCAAAATTAATTGGTTAAAACCAATTTTATTGTGAAAAAATTGATTTGCATAATAAAATCCGACGTAAACTATATTGATTAACCCGCTATATATATATTTATATTATATTTTTATATTATATTTTTTATATTACGTTAAATAAAAACAAATTACCAATTATATTATTTTTTTATTTTATACTATAATTATCAAATATTTTATGCATACTATGCCAATAATTTCAGATGCGGAACAAATCGATTATTTATATTGCCAAAGGATAATTTGCGTCGCCGAATGCAAAAGCAAAAAAAAATGGAAATGCAAAATTTAAAAACAAAAACAAAAAACATGTCGAAATTTAAAGCAAACAAAAATTAAAAACAAAAAATGAATCTTCATTCATCAAGTACAGTCCAGATAAAATCCTCATATACAATCTCCAACATTATCCGTGATCACTTTAAAAAGTAGCTTTCATGTTTACGCATCAATAGGCATTGTTGAAACTTGTTTCAATGAATAAAGTCTAACCAAAAGACTTTTCCCCAAAGTCTCGGCTAAGTTATATTCTCTGATATTATCATTTTGTTTGTTTTTCATTTAAAAAATAAAATGTTTTCACTAAATGAAAGTTTACTAACTTCGGTCCAACCGTTTTTGATGAAAGTAAGCGAAACTTACAAAATTGTTGTACATATACGAATACTAATTTTCTCTCTAGTAAAAAAAAACGTAAAAAAAACCATCTCTTGTCTAATTGCCATTAATAGAGGTGATTTTTCAGTGGCCGCTGGCTTAGACCCTTAGTACACATATTCTTTAAAAAAAGGGGGCACCTCGACATAGTGTAATATTTAATAAGCTTGGCTTGCTGGAACAATTACGACGAAGTAGTGAGTTCGATCCTCACAGAGTTCCGAATACTTTCGACCTTCGTGCTAGACATTTTTGGGGTCAGAATCTATCTTACAAATTTATAAGTCCACTATACGCACCTGCATCAAATATTGTTGCCACGTTTGTTATGTTCTGGCCTGGTCTGGTTTGGTCTCGTCTGGTCTGGTGACTTTGTTAGGTACCTTGAGATATTGATAAAAATCTAAAGATGGATCTGCAAAATTATGGGTTCTAATCTGACCTTTCGGCTGTAGTCATTTTCCAACCGCCATAACGTAGCTTTCCCGTACGTTTTCTATAGTTTTGTGGCATTTGTCTTGATGGTTTTTACTCCTTCGAATCTCTACTTTACGAATTTAAGCACAGTACTAGATTGGCAGTTAGGTCCCATAATTTTACGGTCGAAAATGCTAGAAGTAACAAAGTGTTCTATTACTTAAACGTTATTTAAGATGATATTTGTATTTGAGTA